GGCAATTTGCTGACTCAATTTGCTAAAAATCTGTAAACCGCTTAGATAGGGCTGAAAGCCCTATGAAGCGGTATATAAGTCTAATAAATAAATAACTAAAAGAAGATATCTATACTGCAGGGTATGGATCCATGGAGAACATATGTCACTTTTAGCATGGAAGAAAATTCCTTAGGCTGAGAAAAAAAGAAAACCAATTGTGACAATGTTGGCTTGTGGGGGTGGAAAATCTTATTTTTTTTTTTAACTTTTTTCCAGTACCGCCAGTTATTGAAGGTGTCAGTGAAACCCTTCAAAACAAGCAAGTTGTTGTTGGAAGTTCACTTATATTGGAATGTAATGCAGCCGGCAAACCCCCTCCCCTGTTAACCTGGCTGAAGGATGGAGTTCCTGTTACAGCAAGTGACAATCTCCATGTTGTGTTTGGTGGGAAGAAGCTGGAGATCCTGAATGCTGCCGTGGCTGACCATGGCCAATATGTGTGTGTAGCTACCAGCATAGCTGGGGAACAGGAGATCAAGTACGATGTGGAAATCCTCGGTGAGTAGAAACCATGGAATGATGCATTAAATTTTATTTTAGTATCTCTGGTGGCACAGTGGTTGGAATGAAGAACTGCAGGATTATTCTGCCCATTAACAGGAATTCGATCCTGACGGGGCTTGAAGTTGATTCAGCCTTCCATTGACTGAGGTCAGTAAAATGAGGACCCAGATTCTTGGGAGCAATAAGCTGACATTATAAACCACTCAGAGAGTATTGTAAAGCTTTGTGGCATGGCATGTAAGCCTAATCACTATTGCTATTTGATTTTCGTTGCACTTTCAAAGAATGCGAAAGTTACATATTTATATTAGCAATAGCACTTAGAGTTATATACTCCTTCATAATGCCTCATAATCCTCTACAAGCAGTTTACGGAGTCAGCATATTCCCCTAACAATCTGGGTCCTCATTTTACTGATCTTGGAAGGATGGAAGGATGGATCAACCTTGAGCCGGTGAAAATCAAACTGCTGGCAGTCAGCAGAATTAGCCTGCAATACTGCATTCTAACTGCACCACCATGGCTCTTTGTACACAATTTCTACATTTCCATCCATGTGACATTTGAAATGATAATTTCTTAGTGACTGATGCTTCCTTTCCTTTTCTACACATATATAAAGCACCACTGGGATGCTTTTGCACACTGTAGAAATATTGCAGTTGGTATTTTCAATTCAAGTTAGTGGATAATTTGGACATAACGAAAGTTAAAGGGTAACTTGTTTGGAATGTAGAAAAAAAATAAAATAAAAATTATTAGTTGGTGGTCTGATATTGTCTTGAAATTGGTTCCGATTTTACCTATAACTATGTTGATTATTATATAAAAAGAATCATATTATACTATTAGACCATCACAGTTGCAACATGAGTTTGGATTTTTCCTCCAGTTGCAGAGTTACAATTGTGTAATATTTTTAATTAATCAGGAACATTATTATTATTATTATTAGGGAAAGTGTAATAGGATGTAGGGATGACCTTGATTGACAGGGGGAAGAGTCATAGGCTAGACAGTGGTTTGATAAACAAAATCTGAGTGTGAAGGAGGGATGAAGATGGATAAAGCATCTCAGAAAGGACCTTTCCCAGTTTTTAGGAGACTAAAATTACTTTTAGACTTTCAAAATGTTGTGATTGTAACCTTATAATAAAGGTAGTGTTTTTAATCCATGATTGCTATTTCTTGCCTGGTCTACTGTACCTCGAAGTGGGGGGGTGGGAAAGGGGGAAAATCAACATTGATGTGAGCCACAATAAGAGGAATTCTAGTCTTCTTCTTTCAGCATTTGGCGTGTTAACAAGTCTCCATGCCATTCTGATAAACTTGCTCACAAGAAAATAACCCCTGCAGATAATGAGGCTTGAAAGTAGGTTCTCTAAGCCCAGCGGTGGGATTCAACCAGGTTGCACCTAGCCGGGAGAACCAGTTGTTAACTTTCTGAGCAGTTCAGAGAACCGGTTGTTGGAAGAAATCTCCTTTTGTTTTTCCCCACTTTACAGGGCTAATCCTGTAAGGAAGGCAGGAAGGAAACATTCTGGTGTTGTTTTTAAGCCTAATCTTTATTGCCTTGCTTACAGAAACTGCCTCTCCAATTAACCCTTATTACATTATCACAGCTAAGGCGAAGCGCCCATCGACATGAGTGACGTTG